CAGGCTTTGCTTGGAGCAGCATTTCCGAGCCGAAAAGCTCTTCTTCTCGGAGCCGTCGAGCACTCCGGGGCTTCCGCCTCGTGCTAGGGAGGTTCCCTAGGCTTTTCGGGGGATTTCGGGGCTAGAGAGAGGTTCTAGAGAGAGAGTAAAGAGAAGAAAGAATGGGAAAGGTGTGAAGAAAATGAGGGTGGGAGAGGTGGTATTTATAGGGTGAAAATGGCTGAACTTGGTGCCACATGTCACCATCTAGTGGCAAGACTTGGGGAGAAAGCAATGGCCAAGATTGTGCCACATCACCCATTTTCGCACAAACACTTCCGACTTCTAAAATCCGTAACTTTCAGATACGACCTCCGTTTTTGACGTTCTTTATATCCACACGTAGGTAAAAATAATATCTACAACTTTCATTTTGACTCCGTCGGCTAATTCTCGACCGATCTTAAATTTAACAGTACGAGGCGTTTAGACTGTTAAATGACCGCGAAGAATTCGTAACTCCTTCATACGGACTCCGTTTTCATCTGTCTTTTTACCGTTGAGTTCCTATTAATGAGATCTTCAACTCTCATTTATTTCATGTAAGCCAAAAACCGCTCGAACTAAAATTCGAGTTTCGGGCTGTACACTGCTAAGCCGAATCTTAGAAAAATCATAACTTCCTCATACGAAGTCAGATTTGGGCGTTCTTTTTATCGACGCTCTTAGTTTAACATATTCTATGACTTTTGTTTAGATTGCTAAGGCTAAAAAGTCTTCTATCGTAAATTCACTATTTACGTCTTCCGGTGCCGTGCTGGTTTTGCTGTAAAACTTCGGCGGGCCATAACTTCTTCGTTATAACTCGGATTTCGGCGTTCTTTATATGTACGGAAACCTTGTGACATATTCTAAAACTTGTTTAAGACTATTCATTCTAAATAATCTTTTGTCGAAAAGTCATTTTTGACCCCTATTGCCTCTAAATTGACTAGCCCGGATCTGCGGGCGTTACACAAGTCCTTCTGACTTCGTGCATAATCATTACAAGAGGATCAATGCATATAAGTTTAGAATCTAACAGATTTCAGTAAATGACATGAATTTGGAATTCTTGCATTTACAATAAGGATTTGGGATTGTGAAATGAGTATCATTGGAATCATGTTCAATTGATCTACATCACAATGTAAGGATCATAGACAAACATAGTGTGCATACTTGGGGTATGGCATAACTATTGTTTAGAAAACAAAGTGTAGATGCTAGGAGCATGGGACGACTGTTGTTTTATTCGAGTTTAAGTTGATTATTTGAAACATTGAATAATGTGTAATCAATATGGTGATAAATAAAAGGTGGTTTTATTTATATTCAAAAGGGTTCTGAGACCATATTAGATTCGATTATTATTGTGTTTCACTTTGCATGTTTTGACTTCCAAAATAGCTAGGTTATTCTTTTCGAATGACTAAGTTATTTAAACACTCCACAGTCGTTCATATGTTGGAAGTAGGTATGAATCAAGACTGTCATGAATCGGGTTTGTAGATGGCTAAATGGGTTTAGTCATGGCAATGGTTGCTACAACATTCATGAGTGCTCATAAGTTATGAGTATTGGAATAAACCCACGCTCACTTGTATCACTTCATGGAATTTATCTCGAGTGATCGTGAGACGGTAATATCATATAAATCTTCAAACCTAGAGATATGAGTTGTTACCTATGAGTTGGTTGTGCATTGATTGCACGTAAACGCATCAGTAACTTGATGTTATAAAACGTGCCTTTGTGTACAATTCAACAAGTAGTAGAACAAGCATATGAGTCGAAGTTTATCTGTTCCTTCTAGAAATAGAAGCGATATCTGGGCCCCTCGATGATTTTGTTGTGACTTATGTACTGGCCGGTCAGAACTGAATTGATGTGTTCGATTAAGTTCTTTGTCAAACAAATCGAAAATCGGGAAACAAACTGCTGGACAATAAGTACGACGTTGTTCCATGTATTTGTCGGCTGATATCATGAGAACAGAGGATTATATGATCCCTTATCTAATGGACAAGTCATTGACAAGATCAGAGTTCATCTACAAGGTCAGAGTTCGACAGAAGCTTTTGAGAGCTACGATTGCTAGTTGGTTCCTGAAGTCATACGCAATAATAGTTTTAGACTTATCCAAGTGGGAGACTGTTGGATTAATGTCTAAGTCCATAACTATAATTGGTAAGACTTGACCCGACCCGACATGGTCCATTTGGGTTGCATACCATCATGCACTTGGATAGACTAAATGAGAGAAATAAGACACTTATGGTTATTAATATATTATAAGTTCTAGTATATTAATAATAAGAATAATCAGATTATTTAATTAGTATTGATCAAGAATTAATCTAGGATTAATTAAGTGATCAAAAGAAGACTAATTAAATATATGGGTTGATTGTGTAAATCATCCATACTTATATAGTGGGCTAATGCTCCATGGATAATCAAGTTGGGCTAAAACCCATAGGATGGTCCATGGATGCTCCATGGTGTATTTGAACCCATGGATCCAAGGAAATGGAAAGCCATGACAATTAAGGATTTACCCTAATTGTAACACTATATAAAGATCTTATTCTTGACAAAAATCGGCCACTAGTGAGAGTAACAAAAGGGCTAGCCGATTTCATGAAGTGTAGAACTCTCTCAAGTTATTCTAAGTGTTTTGATGATTGTGATTCCATTTGAGGCTTCCACACTATTGGGGCTAGGCACTCAAGCTTCATGAATACTTTCTACATCAAAGAGGTATGTATTCTATCTTGTTACACTCATTGTTTTGTATGCTAGATTAGGATAATACCTTGGATATTCTTATTTGCATGTATAATAGAGAAAACATAGATCCAAGGTATTTAGGGTTGCATGTACACTTAGGAGTGTTAGAATGCTCAAAACCCAACATCATCTTCATAACCAATCTTTGCTGCTTCAACAAACTTTCCATGTACCTCTAGTACTAAGAGAAGATCATTGACACGGTTTACAGACTTGAAAAACGAATGCATTTGGTGAATCACATCTCTTTCAACTTTTTCTATCTCATGAGTTGTCTTCACATGTTCCAAACTCATAGCCAATGCATTATCTTTGTAACAATCTATGAATTCAAGGCCTTTTATTAATAATTCTTCTTCTTCACTTTTCCCTTGGGATAAAATTCTCGTCACTTTGCACACAAACTGATAGCAGACGTCAGAGCCACTTTTGGCAATTGACACAACCTTACTTAATCAGTAAAAAATCCTTCTGTGGAAAAGGTTCCTCTGCAATTTGAAGAACCAGAGAGTTCATAAACACATGCCGCAGGATTAGCAATGATGACTCCCTGTGAATTCACCCACATGGATCAGAAGCTCAGATTGAGTATCCAGTACTTTAAGCCTTAAAGCCTTTGCAGCTTCTTCAAAGTTACCCCATTCTATTTCCAGCGATATAAGTTCATCAAAACACCTCTTTTGAGTTAAGAACTTTCGCATCTCATCCTTAGAGTGAAAGGAACTAACGAATGTCATCATACTTTTCAAATCCCTTACATCATAATAGTAAAGAGCACCTTTTTGCAAAAAAACTCTATCTCAACATACCCACATCCTCCCCAACGACCTATTAATTCAATACCCATTTTAAACAATTTTCCATCAGCACAAGAAGAAAGACACTTTGCAAAAGCTCTAGCCTTCTCATATTCTTCCGCTGCATGGTTACAGTATTTTTCAATGTTATTGTGAGATAAAACAAATACTAACCTCATATAAAACGAAGGGACATTTGACTGTTGGACATGAATCTTCAACATTTGTATTTATCCGTTTACAATAAATAATATGTAGTGGACTAAATATTACTTAACAACGATTAATAGCATCCGAGTATATCGGATACTGAAAAAGTAGTCTATTGACCTAAATAGTTGAATGAGTTTTACAAAGGATGTAGTGTAGAATGATAGTAAAAGATTACCAACTATTTTATAATCTTCCATCTCATAGAAGCACTCAGCAGACAATACATGCTTGCCAAGAGAACTAAATAGCTCAGCAGCTTCCTTGAAAAGCTTTTTCCTTTCTTTTCTTGAATCTGGAGTACTATCAGCAATTGCACGAAGTTGATGAGCCTTAGCCAATCTCTCATAATACTTGTTCCTAGACTTCACGAAGCACATATGTGCCATCCTAAAGTTATTCTCATAAAATAGCTGCAATTAAATGAAATAGATATCGTTAAAAATCTCTTCACATGACCGACTTTTCAGTTTCCAAAGATCGTACGTAATGTTAGACCTTTATGCTACGTGTTCTCCACTCGTCTTTACTGCTTGGAATTTGCATTTGGTCAGTAGAAAATGAGGCATTTAGATGTTTGACTTCAACAAGTCTTAATTTTTTCCAGTAATCAAAGATCGGTTGAGAGAAACCTGTGGTTTCACAAATCCACAACCGTTGCCTTGTTCGAGTAATCACCACATACAACTGCTTCAGTTCAGTACATAAAACATTGTGCTTTTCCATATCGAACTGTGCACACACCACAATAGAGCTGAAGTTGAATCCTTTTTCCTTCATATATTGATATCCGACTCTCCATTCATTTGAGAAAGAGGATGTTGTAAAAAAGTCATATAACAATACATCCTTTAAAACATGGAATAAGTTAAATGCATTACAATGTTCAACTTTTAAGCTCAAAAAAGAATTCTCATATAAAACTTAAAGCAATTCAAAGATAATTAGTGTTTTAATTACCTGAAACTCTAAGTCTTTGGACTCCATGATTGTTAGAACAAGTGCATTTTTCCCAACAATTTAGAGTACCTTCTCTTTTAGATGTTAATCACGAACTAAAACAACTTGCTCAACACCAAATCCAGTAAACTACTGACAACCAACCCCATTGCTTTGGAATATGGTTTTGATAACATTATCATTTGTATCAGTTTGAAGCAAAATAGGAAGATCTTCATCGATTTAACTAGTTTCTGGGCTCAAAGCATCAACAAACAAGGGAAAAAAGTGGCAAAGAAGGTTGACAACACTTTGAGCCAGATTCAAAACTCCAGTATGAGTGTGAAAATTCTCACTTAATTGGAAAACCTTGGAGAGTTTTCCCTTTTCAGAACCCAAAAGAAACTTTCTAAAGAACAGCCACCGTATATCTTCAAATCTGAATCCAATACCCTTTGCTATGGCCTGGGCTATATCTCTAGAAAAAGCATAACCTTCATGAACATTTCTACACACGTACTTAAAAAGCATAATCTGCCTAATTGTAAGATCTTGAACTTCATCAATATATACATAATCCATAAAATCTCCATTATATCCTTCAAATTCAAGCCTTTGATGAAGATCATTCACTAAATTAGTCAAATCAAAATTCCCTTTTTCCATTTTTATCTTCTCATACTGCAAAAATATGGAACAGTTGATTTCTCTCTTCTTTGCATCAAAAATTGAAGTTATAGAATCACAAAGTGCAACATAATCTTCTCTAGAGATGATTCCATTGTGAGCAACCTCGCTTGCAGTTAATCCACCCTTTATAACTGACATGATTTCAGTGTAAACTATGGAGGATTCAAGATTTGCTGTGAGCTTGTTGTTTAAGTGAGGCCAATACATTGAACAAAATCTCTCAAAAGTAACATCCTTTAGCCTAATACATTGTTCCAATACACCGAGTCTTGAGTTGCTTGTTTTATTGCCACAAAGGAGCTGTCTAACACACAAAAATCTCTCAAAGTATGATGTACCAACCGTTCCATCAAGCATCAGTAGGAATATGTGGAATGTTATAATGAGTGGATATTTGTTGTATGGGAGATGAATAAAATGATTTGGAATATCTCCAGACAGACAACATCACTTTATCAATATCATCAATACTCATGGAGTTGCATTGTGATGAGGAACTCCCTCTCCCTCCCTCCCTCCCTCAATTTATTATTTTTTTTAGGACTTTTGACCATTCAAATTATACAAAAATCACCATTTAACCATCTTAGTCCATGCAGTTTTTTTTTTTTTTTCTTCTCATAAAGTTTAGATGCCATAGTAGTGCCAAGTCGAGCCACATGGCAAGTGGCAATTAGGAAACTTGTTGAAACCTACTATAGTGGCTAAATTGTGACAAATTTGAAAGTTGAAGGTTAGTGGCCAAATGGTGACGTTTTTGTAACTTCGATAGTCAATTTAGTTAATAGTTCAGCTTAAAACACATCATCAATATAGTTTTCCGCTAAAAGTTACAATATAATATTTAAAATTCAAATCATTTATATTATTTTTTAACGTGCATGATATAAGCTTAAAATCTCTGTAGAATAGAGAGAAACATTTCTATAATATAGTATATTTATAAACATATAAAATTTGTAAAAAAACAATATACAATTAAACAGGTTATATTCGAATCATTTTTGAGTTGAAAGTCTTGACTCTAACCTAACTCATTTAATTTTCGTATCGTGTCATGTCAAACCATTTTACTTAAACGTGTCGAAATCTCTTACACAAACCCAATAATTTCGTGTCGGGTTTGTATCAGGTTATCATGTTGTGTCATGATAGGTTTACTTATAAGTTGATGAATTATATATGCAAACAATTTATATATTTCTTTTACCAAGTTTTTGCCACAATATATTTTTTCATTAATACATGTCGGTGTGTTTTGAATTTTTATCTGTAACATTTTTTTTATACTTTTGAGCAAAAAAATAATAATAAATTAACTGAATTATGTCCGTTATATGCATTTTTTTGAACGGCAGTTACTATCTACATTATCTGAAGTCCGGTTCAATTTCGACTTCCAACGATAATTTAAAATTTTCCCCAATCTTTTGTTTCATCGTACAATTCACGTCGAGGAAGAAGACGATTTTTCTCCTCCGATCACCATCTAATCGGATCTCCGGCAATGTATAGGGCCTTGGTAGGCCCGTCTGATTCTGTGGTGATTATGATGTTCACCATTAAAGACGCTTCTAAATGGTGGCATATATTAAACGACTCCCCTATTTGGCAAGATCGAATATTCTACCTTCTCGCTCTTCTCTATGGCCTCGTGGCGATTGTCGCAATGGTGATTTCTCCTTTTGATTTTGTTACAGTTTCCATGATTTGTTGAGTTTCATGTTTTTGTTTCTAGGGTTCGTTTTAGAGCGATATATATATTTTTTGTTTATCTTACTAATTTGATTCTGGTATCGGTTAATTGACAAGTTAAGTCGGTAAACTGTTAACTCGATTGCTTCATAACAGATTCCGATCTCTACATTTACACTTGTATGAATGATTAAAACTAGTAGTATGTAGAAGATCCCCCATATATTTCATGATTTTGTGACATTTGCAGATGCAATTGATTCGAATTCAGCAAAGAGTACCAGAGTATGGTTGGACCACCCAGAAAGTCTTCCATTTTCTCTGTTTCCTGGTTAACGCAGGTCTGTATAATGTATAAATCTACTTTTTTCTCTTATGAATCTTGTGAATTCTGATAGTTACCGATGATAGTTTATAAACATATTACTATTCATTGATTGCAGTTAGATGTTTGATTTTTACATTTCGTCGTGATATTCAACACTTGAAACCAGAGGTTAGAAAGTTGTTTTAAAATTTTCAATTATATGAATATGAATATGAATATGACCCCATTAATTAATTCAGATCATAATCATGTTAATAATTAAGCTTTCATTTTGTCAGATTGTTCAACATATCTTGCTTGATGTCCCAAGCCTTGCGTTTTTCACCACCTTTGCTCTATTGGTTTTATTCTGGGCAGAAATTTACTACCAGGTTCAGTTTAATTACTTGATTTCTCATATTTTATTTATTTATTTATTAATAAACTTTTTTTACTCTTGGTTCTGATTGGTGAATATTTGTAGGCACGTGCTGTATCAACTGATGGCCTTCGGCCAACTTTCTATACAGTCAATGGAATAATCTACGCTATTCAGGTTTAAAAAAAGAAGTTATTTTGCAATATAATATGTATTAAGTTTTTAATTACATGTTAATAACATATAAGTTAGAACCAATTAATTTAATATTTTGTTATCTCTTAATAGATATCTTTATGGGTAGTAATCTGGTATAAGCATATCCCTTTTATGGTGATACTCTCCAAGATGTTCTTTGCAGGTCCTGCATTCTTTGTATTTCATTTTGATTTTTTTTTTTAATTAAAATTTAAAAGTTGTCTCACTCATCTTTTTTTCAGGGGTGTGTTTGTTTGCTGCCTTGGGATTTCTGCTATATGGAGGAAGGTAATAGATTTTTGTTGGAAAATATATATGATATTATTGTTTAGCATATACAGTTTATATATATATAAGAGGACTAATATATATCTTGTATATATGCATGCATGCAGGCTATTTTTAATGTTGCAACGGTTTCCTGTGGAATCAAAAGGAAGGCGAAAAAAGTTGCAGGAGGCATATATATTAATTAATTTATTAAACCGATTATGAAATTCAACCTCTTTTAATTATCTATCTTTTTTATGCAAGTAATGTATAGTTTGATTTATTTTTTTGGTGTAGGTTGGATATGTGACGAGTATCTGTTTTACATGTTTCCTCATAAGATGTGTTATGGTGAGTCCTCTTCTCTTCAAATTGGTAATTGTTAGTGATATTAAATTATTGAGCATATATTTAATAAAATCTTTTATCTTTTTTTATTTTGGTAGATGTGCTTTAATGCATTCAATAAGGCTGCAAACCTGGATTTAATGGAGCATCCTGTTCTTAATTTCATATACTACTCGGTAAACTTCTTTATTAACTATATATAATATATAATTTGGTCCATATATATTTAATGTTTTACTAATTATGTACATATATATTTGAACAGCTGGTGGAGATACTACCATCAGCTTTGGTTCTGTTTATTTTGAAGAAGTTGCCACCTAAAAGAGGGATAAATCAGTATCACAATATTCGCTAAGGAGAATAATATAGGAAATGAATGAAAATAGAAACATTTAATTGATGGAAAGAAAGGAGAAGGTGGTATATATGTTCCATGGTGTCCAAAGATTTTGAAAGGGTTATGAAGTGGAAGTGGTCTCTGTGGTTAGTGGAATATGATAGTGATTTGTATTGATGGTTGTTTGACTCAAAAATGTTAATGAATGTGCATTTTGTTTTTGTTGTGTCTTCAATGCAAGTTTAGCCAACATGTATAGTTCCAACTTCCATGCATCAAGTAAAGATCGAAGTATATGACACCAAGATTCTTGAGAGAATGTTAAATGTTATTAATAGAATCCATGGTAATATAGAGATTTGATGTTAGTTAATATGGGACATAACTCATAAGTCTTTGATATCCTTGTGGACATAGAAGATGGGTTAAGATACCACTTTAAAAGTATGACCTTTTCAATAAAATCAATCGCCGAGAGACTATGAAAAGCAGAAGCAACTAAATAATGAAATGCGAAGTCAAGAAGAATAAAAATATGTTGGAAAAGGTTAAGAGAACTAGAAATCTATAAAGATTAAGACTTTAGTGATTCAAGCAAGGAAATGAAAAGCTTTTACAAAAAAAAAAAGAAAAAAACGTAATGTGGTTATTGAGCAAATTAATCTTAGCTAGATCGTAGTAAAATGTAATTTTTTTTTAACAAACTTTATAAATTGCAAATAGCACTTACTTTTAAAAAAGATAACAAGATAAACCGAATCACATTCTTTTTCTTCATAAAGAGTTTTTTTTTTTTTTTTTAAAGATAGAAAATTGTTTAATATTTTTTTTTTATATTTACAAAAATTCAAAGTAAAAAAAATCTTAGCTTTTTTAAATAAACAAATTATTTATACCTTTTTAATCTTAAAAATAATTAAAAAATGGTTATAAATAAATATAACTTTTAACAAAGTCTTAGTTTTATTTTCAAATAAAATAAACTATTTATTGAGTAATGTATCATTGGATTTCATCAAAAAAAAAAGGACTTAACAAATAGTTTAAAAATCATATTATCAACATTTTTATTTACAATTTACTTTATTTCTTAACATGGATGGTATCATATCATCGTCATTGTTCTACCATGGTAAAAACTATCCACCTTAGTTTTCTCCGCCTCCATTTGATTTTACTATCGTGTTTGACACATACTAGGAGTGGTGTATCAAAAAAAAGAATAAGGCACGCGTGTAATTAAGTTAAGTGGAGGTAGGTTCTAAAACCTACATTTAAAAAAAATTATATATATATATATATACGGAAATGATCAAATGAGAACACCTAAAATGTTGAGAACGCGAGAACAATTATGTACCAATTAATATATAAGAGCATATTAGTAATTGTTTATTTTAATTAAATTATAAAAATAGTAATTTCCATAAATTTAGAAATTATGATAGTTACCAAAAAACAATTAATATTTTATTAATAAAATATTTTAAAAAATAATTTTTTTTTCATTTTTTTAGTTTAAAAAATCAAGTTTTTTTTCTTATACCTTATTATTCATACGAATGCATTAATGAAGGAAAAATAATTTTTATAACTTCTAGGTTTTTGTTTTATAACTGTTTTATTTAGTTTTAAAAAATACCTTTATGTTAAATTCATTATTGATTGAA